GTTAATCATCTACAGTACATTTGTTATACAGTAAAATCCAAATTATTACCTTTTATTCCATTAGGAAATCTTGAATATACCAATTAAATTAGTTATATAAATGCAATAATTTTGATTATTAACAACCAATACTCGCGTTTTTGGACCAGGCACAAGATACCCAGTTGAATTTCTATGAAGGCTTGACCAACAATCTTCTATATAGATTAAATAATTATCAAGATAAAAATCTTCGGTTTTTGCTTTTTTGAGTATATCGGTTTGATAGGCCTGAAATTTATTAGTAAGATCGATGCGGCTGACTTTGCACTAAAAATTAAAAATAATATTGAAAATTAGTTGAAACTGTTGGGTCGCATGCTGGTTTATCTGAAATAGAATTCTATTCTATTTCTAATTACCTCTTTACCAGACTTTACTTTACATGTATAGAACGTTTCGCTATTAGAAATATTACTTTCATAATTTATATTTTCTTTGTTTTTTCTCTATAGTAATGAAAAAAAGCTAAAAGATGAGTAAGATCCTTTCGTAAAGAAGATACATAACTGATTCCTCTTTAAGAATTAGCAGACCTTAGGGATTATACGTTTTTTCTTTTTATCTTGGTATTTCGTCCTTTTTATATATATATATATTTTTTCCTGTCTTCCGGTATATTCTCCTTGTTCTAAACATGTAATAGAAAGTAGTAGCATTATATTATTATATCAGACATCAGTCTCTTTTAACCGATTCCTTCTTCAGAAACGGTATTCGAAGAAACTACTCTGAATTGCATGTTCTTTGTGACGACCCCCGCAACAATGCCATGTCGAAAATCGCCCTTCGCTATTGTTCTATGCGATGCATCCTTTCATTACATCAAAGCAAGTAGCTTGGAGCAATTTCTACAAAGCCAACTCAGAGGAAAGGAGCCTGATTAATAATAAAAAATGTATTGACACCATCAGCATGTTTAGCGCTAGAATCTTCTGTTTTATATGTTGGCAAGTACAACACGTTCAGATTCAAAGAACGCGTCTTAAAAATAAATACAGAAATAAATCACTGTCATAAAATAGAAACATGCACGTTACACAATTGATTAGCACCCTACCCCAAAATTTTTTTTGGGAAAAACTAATATGTAACGGTAAATGAAATATCGATATATATATTTTTTTAAAAAAAGAAAATTCTTATTGTGTATCTAGATAATAACTAGGTACAATACTAATTTCTTGTTTTCTATT